GAGAATTTGGCAATACTTGAAACAACTGAATGGTAAGCCAAAAATTGAATTGATTAAAAATAATTATATAAATTCAATACGGTTCGAGACGTTTTTATTAAACAGAATAGTTTCTTTTAACTTCTATTATAGTTTTTATCACAGACGTTGAAATCAAATTTAATATTGAAAGTATTTCTACAAATTAAACAATTACAAAAATTATGATGTTCAGTTCAATAATTCGAATATCATGTTAAGCCAGACACCACAACTTAACTGCTTTGTAATCTCTAGAATGCGAATCATTAGTTTATTTCACTATTTAATATTATTCGCTTATTTTTCTACTCTATGTTTATTTTATATGTTTGTTAAAAAAATGAACAGATTTATTCACATTTTTACCCAATAAGCTATTACGACTTAGCTACGATATTAGCTACGTATATCAGTCTGAGTATATTGAGTATATTATTTGGCGACTAAGTAACACATGTTGATTGTTTACATAAATAAATATTTCTACATAAATAAATATTTCTACATAAATAAATATTTCTATATAATTTCAATATTTCAGTAATCCGGACAACATTGAAACATAGTTTTTCAGATCTCATATTTTATTAAGACAGCTCATACATATATATGATGGATACATTCCCAACTAAACAGAACTTTTAATAAATAAGAATATCAAGACCTCTTGTTTGGTGTACTTGATTAACTTTATTCAAAACAATTCTATTCTTACAGCAATACCTATATGTGATATTAATAAACGTCATATGAATGTGTTAGATCGTCTGCTGATATATTCTAAAAACTGTCATTACAAATCTTCTCGATACCATATGCTTTTTCAAAACACTTTCATATAAATCATACGATGCCATAAAGTAAGTATGGGTTGTAAGTATTGCTTACTTAAACCCAAAAAACATTTTCCACTTTCGATATTGATATCATAACTTCAAACCTCTTGAAAATACAGATTATGATTATAGGCAAACCAGATTTCTTTTTAAAGCACTAACTCAACCTAATTAAAATATGTTGAATAAACATGAACAATGTAAAATAAGAGATGGAATAAGACGAATACTTAGTAATATACTCGCATTATAATAAACGTTACATACAATTTTAAAATAGAAGAACAAGTCCAAAAAGAAGAAGTTTAAAGAAGTCAATAATCAAGCGAATAATCTTTTAAAGCCTATTAAAAAAATGAATTATCTTATATAGCAACTACAAGAAAAGTTTACTTTAGCATTTGCGAAGTTTTAGAATACTTCACATGGAATCAATTCGTTTACTTGAACGCATTTAATTGTTTCAACTAAATTTCCAAAAATTTTTTCGATATAAAAATCCATTCTTATATATAACATACATATATACATTTAAATACAAACTAATTTTCAATAGTTTTATATTGAGATAACGAAATACACTTAACCAATTTCATTTATTTGTCAACTTACGTAAATCTAGTCCATTCCTTTTTTGTAAATCTGGTCCATTTCACTGGATTGACAAGAAGTCCGTATTTCAAAACTAACCAACAGAATAAAAGAAAAGTAAATAAACGCTACTATACTTATTAGACGTCAGTTTACTATTAATGATGTATTGAGAATTTTTTATAAACTCGTTGATTAGCTGCAGTAAATCACATTAAAACTATTGCTCTATACTTACAAAACATAATTGCAGAAAAAGTGACTATCAAAATCATAATAATCTATATATTATATATGTTTGCTAAAGTCTGAATATATGCTGTTTGTAACACAGTATTCTGTAGCATACAGAGTGTTACCAACTCTGTATAAAACCATGGAATCATAAGTAGACTAATAAGTCTCTTATGGGGCCATCAGCTAAGAGACCAAACATTTGCCTAGAATTTAAAATAGGACATCGTGAGCTTAAAATTACGTTAATACAGTATGGTTTTAATTTATCTAATAAATAATTGAACTATATATGTCCTTTTCCTAGTTCAAGAACTGTCGTTTTTGCTACTATCCGATTAGGAATATTTATAAGAGTAGTTGTCATAACATTCCTGCCCACTCATATACAATATTAAATATCATTCAGTTTAATTTTTTTTTACTTTAATTGGAGAACTTATTAATAATTACGATTTTTTTTCATATATGTATTTATTTATTTTCATATACTTTCTATTTATTTCACATGAGTTTTTGACTTTTTTCTTCTAATACAAATAATGCAATTTCTGCGCAGCTCTCACGCTCTTAAATTATCTGTACTTTTTGGTGCTTAACTGCAGTTAACTTGTCTTCTGGGAAATGCATTATGCAAAGTGTCCGAAGTGTAATTATCGAAGTGAAGGAAGATGCTTACAATGGCTCCGAGCTTTTCTTTACCCATTCGATTTCATTTTACTTTATTTTTTAGAGTTCGCATTATTACTTTTGTTACATTTGACTTCGAAGAATTTCCACGTATTTTGTGAGCATGAATTATGAGCAGCTACTATTTTTAATGCAATATGCAAAAAAAGACTTTCTTTCATTTATTTTCCTAAGATTTTTACTTTCAGCTATAACATTTTTATGTTTTTATGTGCCATTAGATAGAAATACGCTGGATATAGTATGGAAAAGCAGTCTATTTTTATGTAGTTTTGTTA